TCATGTATATGTTTACACTGTAAAGTTGTCCAAGTATACATGATATATCTATATAACTAGAGAGCTCAGTATATGACACGTATAGAAACTCATAGGTACATATGTATACATACGAGAGAAACAATTTTACGTACGATTCGTATACACCGTATCATTATTAATTGCAAACGCGTTGATATTATTATTATTATTATTAATTATTATTATTATTATTATTGTCATTACTATTATTATTATTATTATTATTATTATTATTAATTATTATTAATTATTATTAGTTATTATTATTAGTTATTATTATTATTATTATTATGATCATTATTATTATTATTATTATTATTATTATTGTTACTCCTTTAATTACGAGTGCAGTGTTCGCAGAACCGTCGGTCAGATTAAATATCAACAAATATATGTATATTTATTTTCGATTGTTTTCTGCGCTCATCTTTTGTTTTTCTTCTTCTCTTGTTTTTTTTTCTTTCTTTTTTTTTTAAAGTCGTACTCTAGCTAGAAAGCTGCCGCATCGATCGATCGATGGATGGATCGGTCGGTCACTCGAAGAAGAGTCATTCGTTTTTACTTGTGACGCGCAGATTCGTACGTGTGTGTTCTCTTTCTGTTAAATATTATTATTACATTTACTCCCTTACCGGACGGTTCTGCGTGCCGGTGCTTTTTTGCCTTTTCTTAAAGTACACAATTCCGTACTTATTGTTCGGACACACCAACGATTTATCATTTCTTTGTAGAACGTAATTAAACCCTTGACAGCAATAATAAATTATTGTCATTTACCCTTTGTGTTATTTGCGTTGTTGTTGTTATTGTTGTTGTTGTTGCATCCTTTATATTATAATCCTACGTTTCTCTCTTCGATTATATTACATATATTTTTATATCTATATGTATATTTCTTCTTTAATCTCTCTCTCTCTCTCTCTCTCTTTTTCTTCGACACTTAAACTACCCTCTTTTTTCATTTTCTTTTTTTTTTCTTCTTCTTTATCTTTTCCTTTTTTAATTTGAAATTTCAAGTTGACGAGAGACAATCTTCCGTTTCTTCTCTTATCGTATATTTATGTACTTCTATATAGTCGAGTATATATGTACCACGTATGTATACATACAGGGTAATAAAAAAAAAAAAAAAAAAAAAAAAAAAAAAGAATCTAAGAAGTTTTAGAGAGATTTTAGATATAATAGAATTCACTATTTTCTATTTAAAGAATTCTATGATTTTTTTTTTTTTCTCTATTATCCATCTCGATTATATAAAAAAAAAAAAAAAAACAAAATTTTAGAGAATCTCCCCTTTCTCCGCCATCCCCCTCTTTTGCCACCCTGTATATCCGGGCATCGATTAATTTGATTGACGCGCTCTGCTTGTGTCGTCACGGTAAGTGCTGTTATTCGTTTCGCCGTCGTTGCTTTTGCCTTTCGTTCGTTTCGTTTCTTTCATTTTTTTTTCTTTTCTTTTCTTTTCTTTTCTTTTCTTTTCTTTTCTTTTCTTTTTCATTTGTCACGCATACACGTATTTTTATTCGCCTCAGCTTGTTGTGTTTGTTCTTGCATATAGCATTATTATATGGCCGAGAACGAATAGTGTCCGCGTGTACGTGCACATATATACAGGCACGCACGCGTAAGCCTCTGATATATTTTCAGCCGGAAATAGAGCGTGTAACAATAAAACTGTTCCGCCGTCTCTTCCGGCGGGGAAATAAAAGTTTTCTGTGTGTGCGTGTGCGTGTGCGTGTGTACGTGCGGAGCGCTCACATGTAAACGTTGAAAAAGGTTCAACAAGAGAAGAACATCATTTTTTGGCTTCGTTTTCTGCCTTCTATACTTTCGCGAGCAAAAGTGCTCACAAACGCCGCAATTAGGCTAGTATGTACGAGTATTTGATAGCTGTGTAGAAACGTGCAACGTAGAAATACACGTAGAAACGTAGAGAAGTAGATGAGAGGTGAAGAAAAATCGAGGGCGTCCGTTATATACCTCTCCTTCCCTTTTCTCTTCTCTTTCTTTCCTTTCGAGCCTCTTTTCTTTCATTTCTTCTCTTTTTTTTTTTTTTTTTTTTTTCGTTGTCAATTAGTCATATTCTGTTCCTCCTCGCACACAATTAGAGTTGTCGGGAAAAAGTCTGACCAATGAACGAGTGGGAGAAAGCAGTAGTAGAAACTTGGAAGTGAAAGAAATAATGGGTATTTTATTGTATTATTTTGATAAGATCTCTGCTTTATTTTTGATCGTACAATGCAAATAGGACGCCCATTATTTCTCCCGTCCCCTTTTCTTAGTTTCTCTCATTTTTACATTGGCCAGACTTTACCAACGGCAGCTCTACGAACAACCGATTGGAAAAACGAAACCAAGTGTATATACGAGGAAGTTCGGGAGGTACCGCCATCTTGCAGGTTATTCAGAAACTAATAGAGAAACGTCTCATCGAACGTTTCGATCGATCGATTCTTATTTTTCTTTCGTCGATTTTTACGTCGAGAAAAATGTGTGCTGTCGAATCCAAGCTCAATTTAACACGTCTATTTGAAACTTTCACTGAGACGAGGGAAATGGGTGCTCGTTACGAAAAAAAAACACTTCAAATTAATATTTTAAGAACATTTGTGCTGTGGCTTTTCTTCTATTCGATCGAGGTAAGAACATTCACGTAATATACGATTGCTGTCGAAATTGTTATAGATTTGCACGTGTTGGTTAAAAATCAGCAATGTTCGTCAAATTGAGATTTGATACGTACGAGGAATGAAACATAGCAGCGATTTCTTTGTAATTATACCAGGAAAAGGAGAAAATGACGCGTGAAAGAATTTTTCACAAATATCCTAATGAGAAACGCGTGACGAGCACCCTAGAATCTTGATGGTTGGTTAAGAGGTTCTTCG